TTACCTCTTCTACTCCTACGCTTGGTGCCTGAAGCGCCAACTTTTTCTCATGTAGATGGAGAAGAGACGAGAGGGTCTCATTCCCCCCTCTCCTTTTCATCCATCCTGTTAATGCTATAGCTCAATATAATGTAATGCTCAATCAAAAGTTCTGGATTGGTACAATTTTTTTTTAGGTTTTTGAAAAGTTTCTCCACTCACCAAGTCTGCATTTATTTGTTCAAAATACAGTCTTGGTGAAACTGGTAAAACTAATAATTAACACAGTAAAATTCTTACAGTTTAAAATAGCTTTTCTATTTTAATATAATTAAAAATATATTTATTCCTGTGGAAAAGCTGAAATCCACCAAAGCTGAATTTTTAGCAGGCTTCAGTGTCACATGTTCCTTCAGAAATCATTCTAATATGCTGATTCGCTGCTCAATAAACATGTCTTATTATTATCAATGTTGAAAACATTTGTTGTGCTGCTTAATATTTTTGTGGAAATAGTGATACATTTTTTTCAAGATTCTTTGAATAATAGAAAGTTCAAAAAATATGAAACAGAAATATTTTTTAATATTATAAATGTCTTTACTGCCAGTTTTGATAAGTTTAATGTGTTCTTGCTGATTAAACTTATTCATTTCTTAAAAATAAATAAATAAATAAATAAATCATACTGACCCCAAACTTTTGAACATGTAATATAATATATTTTTTATTACATTCATCAGCAGAGGTGATGAGGGTGAATATTTTTTGACGGTTTTGATTTTAGAATAATACGAACTGATGAATCTTAAACAAAAGTTTTTATTAATGTACATTAGATCAGTTTGAACTCCTCACCCCAAATGCTCTCCATCTTTCCGTTCTCTCTCTTCATACTTTTTCAGGTATCTTTCCCAAGGTAATAAGAGTTGGGAAGAGCTTAAAAGATGCCATTTGTTCTACTCTGAAGGCCGTGATAAAGTCATCAGTGTTAATGAGTGTCCTGCTCTGTCTGACCGGCCGGCAGCTTACTGTTTCAGGAAGCTCTATTCTCGCCCATTATGAGGTAGTCATCCATTGCCGTGGTAACCCAGGGGTAAAATTGTGCCTGTAAGGCTCTGGCGAGCAGAGAATTGAGCATGCTCTGATAGGGTTAAATTTTCCCATCTCGGCTTTAAACAAGGGGCTGATTGTCCAGGTCTCCTATCGGTTTGCTATCACAGTGAGCCTGTTGTATTCAAATGGAGCCTGTGCTTAATTATTAAAGGTGAATCTTTAAATATATGAGTAATTGAGTGGGCATCCATTTCATTTTCATTCAAATGTAGATATGTGCAAAGCTAGAATCAAGGACGTGCAGTTGGTTCGTTATTTTGGTAGTCCTGTATAATTAGACATATTTGCCTGACCACAATCAGACGCATTTCTTAGAGGGACTTAGAAGATGGATTCCCATGTTCAAAATCAGCTGAATGAAGTGCAAAAAATCAATAAATAAAATGTAAAAATAAATAAATAAAATGTTAATTTAAAGCTGCAGTCCGCAAGTTTTGCCTTTGTCGCCATCTCTGTTTGAAAACCTGGAATTGCAGCTGTGTGCGGAATTATCTAGCTTGCCTGGGTTGTGAGTGGGCGCGGCTCCAGCGTGGATGAATCTAATGTTCTGAAGAGTATGTGTGGCAGTCAGTCACTTCAGAATCACAGATTCTAGCCTACGTCTTGGAATATATGACCCAAATAAGAATTTTCCAACGTATATTGCCATCTGAACAAGTAAGTAACAAGTCTGTAACGTTTGTTCTGACCAACTGAGAAAAACAGCATTACCATAAATCTCGCTACCAATGGTGATTAAATCTAAAGATCGGTTAGCTCATATCACATCAAACCGTTCAAATTATTATTATTGTTATACTTTCTCAAATGATTAATGTTAACAACATCATCATTAGTGACTATGAGTAGTGTGTATGAGCGTGTAGATTTCAATTTCTGCACAGTCGAATCTAATTGTCATACTCTTTGAATTTCATATTAAGAAATTCTTTTAACCCAAAAAGCAAATTATGCTCCCTTCGAACTGGTTTTCTTTAAAATACAAATCTTTGTAATCCCAGGCTATCTGTAATCAGAAGCACATTTATAACAGCAGACGCTTTTATCCAAAGCGACTTACAGTGCATTCAGGCTATACATTTAGGCTATACAGAAGCACATTTATAACTGGAATATTTCATTCACATGTGTTTCATAAACACATAATCCTTTCTGGATTACAATTCGCCATCAAAATGATACATTTAATTATTCTGGCTGCTGTGAGAAAAGGCTATAAGCGATCCTCCACTTGCAGGATCCTCACATGCGATAGTCTAGTAGCCGGGACAACTTCTTTATGTTTACAGACGTGACGTAATGACGCAGTGCCATGCTCGAATTTCCCGCGAAAACCTACCCGTACCACTCAAATTAGAAAACATTATTATAAGCTAACCGTTGTGAATCGGGCTAAAGTAAGGCGATAGTTTTGAACACTGGCTGGTTATGTACTTGCTCAAATATTGATTTCGGATCATTTTTAACCCAAAAAAGTTACGGACTGCAGCTTTAAATTCTGTTGCTAATAAAAATATCAAAACTAAAAGAAAAAAGAAGAAAATCCAAAATTAGTCAACCTCACTAAATGACTAACCTCTCATTGGAAGACTAGTTGAATTGTCAACCATAGAGACCCATCCCTAGCTAGAATCTATTCACATTCAAATGGGAAATTTTTATACTGTACTCCATTTTTTTATTCTCCATGGCCTACTCTGTAGTTTGAAAGACATGAAAACAAAACTGGTAATACTGCCGCTACAGAAAACAGGACTTTACTAATAAATTTTCTCAATCTGACAATAACTAATGACTAAATATTACCCAGGGTTGCTGGTGTAATTGTCTGTTGTCAGTATGCCAGACATAATTACGCACGACTCTCACTTTGAGACAAGGGTCTTTTCCCCCCTCTCTCTGTCCCTTATCTTGCTTTCTCTCTCTCTCACCCGCTCCTAACCTACCAAGGTGTCCGTGTGTCCTTGTGGCTCCTTACTCTAGCGAGTGTCTCTGTCACGATCCCTGTCATGAAACATACATCATCCCCTCTCCCCTTCCTCCTCGGCTCCGTTCCTCTCTCATTTTACTGGCTGCCGGTCATTATCGCCTCTCCCTCTGTGTCTCTTCCCTCATCTCTCTGTGAACACGTGCATGCATGAGCTGCTTGTGTTATCCTGTCACTGACCTTGTTTTGTTTGCAAACCATAAAAACAACAAAATTGCAAATGAGAACTTGAGTTTTGAATGCAGGTGGTGAAACACTAGGGATGTACAAAACTACACACTCTCAGAATCAACGAGTCTGTAAGTTACCTGAATGACTGGATGACTAATTGGTAAAAATAACCTTTTTTGTATTTCTTTTACAGTGTTTACATAAAACACGTTCCTGCATTCAAAAACAGCTGAACTAAGCACAACAGAATGGATCAGGAAACAGGATTCTCAAGGTGCGATGCAACACCCAAAAATATCTTTCTTAAAGACCTTAGCGGTGGTGCTTTACATAGTGTCTAGATAAGAATAAAATATAATAATCTAGATAAAGAGAAAAATACACTACATTTATATATATATATATATATATATATATATATATATATATATATATATATATA